GAACTGGCAACCCTTTGGTGTGCGGGAGTGCGCCCAACCAACTGAGCCACACTGGCCAGGGAGGGAGGGAGGGATTTTTGTCTTCTTTGTTCACTGCTATCCCCAGTGCTTAGACAGTGTCTGCTATGTAATGGGAGATTTTTAAAAATTTGGTGAATGCATGAACCTGTCTTCTTCAAAGTCTGCCTGTTGTCTGTCCCCCCTTGGGCAGGAAGTCATCCTCAGTGCAGGACAGGGCTGGTCGGGAGCTGGGATGATGACGGTAACTCGACCGCTTCTGGGGCACTCACACCGTGCCTGACACACCTCCAGGGCTCTACAGGCATTGCCTTATGTAATGATTTCCCCCAAACGACCACCCAAGGTGGGTATTTATATTATCCCAATTTTACAAATAAGGAAACCGAAGCTCACAGGGAGGTGGATATACCTTGTTCAAGGTCACACAGCTTGTGAGGAGCAGAGCAAAATTCAAATCCAGGCCTGTGTGGATCCAGGTGCTGAGTCTTGCCCTCTGCCATACTGCTGGATCCTGCCCCGAAAGGGCCTACGGCCAGCGAGCGGGTTGCAGAATCACCACACAAGGTCTCACGTGCTAAATGCTCACTGTGTCATGTCTGACTCTGTCCTTTCCTTCGCTCCCCACATCCGGCCGTCCCCAAGTCTGGTCAAATCTGCAGCCCGACTTGGGAAAGGCTTTGGAAACCTTCCCTTCGACCCACCTCCGGCCCCCAAATTAGCTCGGGGCCTTGTTAACACTCGCAAGGTCCAAGGTCATGGTCTCCCAGCTATTCCCCTGCCTCCAGGCTTACCTCTTACTGGAGGTCAACCTCCCCAATGCAGCTCAGGTGGTATTACTCTTGGTCTCAGAACCCTTCCCTGGTCCCCACTCACTCTAGAATAAAGCTCCAATTCCTCAGCCAGGCACTCGGGGGTCGACTTCCAATCTTCCTTTCCAATCTTGCCTGTGCTAGTCTCCCTTCAAGCACCCAGTGCTCTACAACCTCAACACATCCTGGACCTCCATGCTCTTGCCTATGCTGGTCCTCCTGTTAGAAATGCAGTCTTTCCTCCACCTCTGCTCCAAAGCCCTGCAAAATATTAAGATCGAACTCAAATGCCACCTCCCTCGTGGCCCTACCGAACCCACAGGACAGGGGTGGGCAAACTCTTTGACTCGAGGGCCACAATGGGTTCTTAAACTGGACCGGAGGGCCGGAACAAAAGCATAGATGGGAGTGTTTGTGTGAACCAATATAAATTCAAAGTAAACATCATTACATAAAAGGGTACGGTCTTTTTTTTTTTTTAGTTTTATTCATTTCAAACGGGCCGGATCCGGCCCGCGGGCCGTAGTTTGCCCACGGCTGCCATAGGACGACAGGTTCTCCCTCGCCTGGCTCATCCACATCTTTTTGCTTCTATGGCCAGTGCCCAGCAGCAGATATTAGCTCACTCCCCAGGCCAGGCCTCGCTGAGTTACTAAGCACATGGGTCTTCTGAAATGGATTGGTGCAGGTGCTGAGGGAGACAGAAACTGGGGAGAAGTGTGTGCACAGAGAGGCCCGCAGAAAACTGCAGAAGGGCAGCAGAAAGCAGCGTAGAAGAGCACAGGACCTGGAACCTGACTGCCTGCGTTCAAATCCAGCTCTCCCTCTTCCTGGCTAAGTGGGCCTCAGCGGTCTCATCTGAAAAGGAGAGGTAATTAGAATACCTGCCTCCACGGGGGACTGTGAAAACTAAATGAGTGATCATATGTGAAGCTGAGAACAGTGCCTGGTACACAGTAAGTGCTAAATAAGTGCTTCCTGCTACTGTTATGAGCCAAGCCCCAACAGGGGCTCAGCGCTGGCAGAGGGCTGACAGTTGCTGGCATAGTCCCCAAACTGTAGCTACTTTTCTGGCACATTTCCCATATGCTACTTGCTTACAACCCTGTTGGGAGATAGGCAGGGCGGACAATTAGTCCCATTTTACAGATGGGGAACCGAGGCTCACTCAGGGAAAGTGCCAGTGAAGAAGCAGGAGGGCCAGAACCCGTCAGTTCTACCTCGCCCTCCTTCCCCTCCTCCAGGCAGCGGTGCACCTGCTGTGCAGGCCTCGAGTAGCGCCCAGCAGCCCCTCCATGCAGGAGGCCCCAGCCATCGTGCCTTCCTGCCGCTCCCCATGCACATCCACCCTCCAGGCCAGGCCAGGCGCAGTACCCAGTGGTGTGTACACACTCGGAACACACACACACACCATCCCCCCTACACACACACACACACACACACACACACACCCTACAGAAGGGCCCAGGCCCCAAAGGTGAGGAAAACCGGTTCTGAGGAATCTGCCTACTGAGCGAATTCAGACCCTTCCACAGTCACAGGAGCTGCCCAGCGTGCGTCACAGACACAGACGCGATGGAAAGGCAGAGATACCAGCAAGGGGGGCCGAGAGAGGGCGAAGCAGGAGGCGGAGGCTGAAAACTTCGTGCTTCTTTTTTCCATTTCAGCGACAAGAGTCACACCCGACCTTTACGTAAACATGACCAAGGAGCCGCTCTGTCCAAGCCGTTTCCTCGCGGCCGCCAGGCCTCTCCTCCCAGTGACCCTGACACGCTGGGCAGGCCCGCGAGAGGCCAGCGCACAGACCCTGCACAAAGGCGAGCCGGGCCACCGGACGTCACCCAAGCCTCCTGCCTGCTGCCCTTGCTCTGCCCCACATTTATCTCCCTGCCTCTTCCTAACTGAGCCCCACAAGGCCACTCACACACACGAGAGGCAGGCACGCACACACGGCTGCGGCTGATCTCGAGGCTGAGGCCCACATGCCCTTGTCACGCCACCTCCCTCCCCACAAGTGTTTTCTGAGCAGCTCGTCTCCCAGCCCAACAGCAGGGACAGGCTCCCCACAATGTCACAGAGGAATCCCTCAGCGCACACACAACCTTCCCCTGGCGAGGCTGCCCGCGGTCCCATCCACACGACCTGCACATTCCACCCAGAGCCCCTCACACCAGTGCCAGCTGCTCCCCAAGTACTTGAGACACACCCTAGGGTTTCTCAAGTCCCTCACGATGGGTGGTACCTGAGTTCTAGACGTGCGCCACCTCCCCATGCAACTCGCTCAGCGCACAGACACAGGAACCCATCCAGCGGGCCGTCCGCACCGAGCAGCACAGAAACGGACCACACCTCAGCGGCACAGACACGGGGCCCAGAAGTGACACCTTCCAACTCAAAGGTAAACAACCGCCCCTCCAAACAGGCGCAGACGCCTGCACTCGCCGCCCAGAGCACTGACACCAGCGAGCTGTGCGGAAAACAACAGTTCATAAATAGTTCATCTGTGCAGGGAGGCAGAAGAAAACACTTGCTGCTATAAACCTGCCGAACGCCCCACATCCAGCAAACTCTGCAGGTACCGGATCCTGCCTGGAACGGGGACCTGTCACCCCAAGCCACGGGGCCACCTGCTGTAATTCTGCCCCACAACCCTGGGCACCCCACCACCTGGCTTTCAGTCCCCCTGGCCCAGGAGGGCCCTCCCCAGACCCCTGGCTGCCAGGCCAGCAAACGGTGGTGCGCAGGAGCGGTTTACCTGGCCGCACAACACGGCAGGAGACACGCAATCTCCAGGACCCACAGCCACCACCCTGCCCCGACGGCGCAGCGGCTCCGGGCCCCTGCCAGTCCTGCCCACCCCG